CTTTACAGGCCAGGGTGAGGAAGTGCAGTGTGGTAGAAGTCTGCGCATACTGGGAGCCTAGGCCCTCTGACAAAGTGCAAGAAAGGAGATAAAACGCACCCCCTTGTGGACATGAGTCAAAACGACAGCTGGTGTCTATTTACAAGCACGCTCCGAGCTCAGTCGGAGGCCTTGCGGATTCTCTCTCCAGTAAGCAGGGAGAAAGGAGTCAAAAACAATTTTCTTTAACAATTCAGTAAACAAATGTTGAAAGAGGCATGCATAACAACAGATTTCATTGAAAAATAATTTGGGTATTCTAAGACTCCCAGATTACCTTTCAGCTTCACCATTGGTTAATAATAGTAAGTTCCTTCTGTACTTTTACATGAAAGTACACCTATTTGTAAATCATTATTCTAATTGGTAAGAAATGAGAATTTTTCAAATTATTTCACAAAGAATAACTATTGTAACTTTTTTTTGGTTGCCATTTTACTTTCTCGTATATGTACATATATACGTAGTATAGAGAAAGTTATGTAATACTAATTATGTTATGTAATACTAAACTGGCAATTTTTCAACAGAAAAACTCACATTGTGTGGCTCTGATACAGAGAAAGTGGATAAATCCTGTTCTAATAAAGTAGTAAACTATTACCCCTAATACAACATGTAGCCAGATATCAGAAATTCGAGGTACTTGACAATGAAAAAGAAGCTTTTTTCAAAACCTATGTCTGTGAACAACAGTAAGACCACCTAAACGAAGACAAGGATTTTTCAAACTGAATACACCCCTGTTGATCTGGCCTCACTTGAAGCTCTACGATTCTGAAAAACATTCAATAATTTCTGGGGGTATTGAAGCCTCTGCAACAACCACAAGAATTATTTTTAAAAAATTTTAAGCCGTTTTTGTGAAAATTTTGAAAATGTCCTAGGGGCTTTAGGAAAAGTATTCCTAAAACTCCAAGAATCTATTTCAAAATCTCAGAGCTTCATGTGGGGCTTGATTGACTGGGAAATATTCATTTTGGAAAAAAACAAAAACACTATCTTGGTATCAGATACCCCCAAAATGTGTATTTCCATAGAAATCTCAAAATCAATATTTTGCAGCATTACATAACTTTCTCTACTGTACATTATTCCGTATATTCATACATACATGAAATTAAACAACTTTTATTGAAAATAATAATCAATTATTGTAATAAAATATAGTCTGCCATTGTCATATCAATTTATTACATTTTATGCGAATTACTCTTACAGTTGATGATATGGCAATCCACAAGTCACATTGCTAACAAAAGCATAAACATTATAACAAACACACATCTGTGCGCTGGACTTGATAACTGTCCACAGTAAGGGCATGCAATTATTATATTATGCATTGTAAATCAGGGAATAGCAAAAGAGTATTAAAAATGAGAATCATTGTACACTTTCACAGTAGAATGCATCTCTTCTACAATACTAACCTGCCAGAGTAATAAGAACCATAACAATAATAATAATACAATGTAAATGTTTTATGCACATTAAATGTTTTTTTTCACAAAACTGAATTAACGTGGATTACTGTCAGTTTGTGAGAAATGTGAAAATAAATTATTCATAGCTTATGTAACATTTCATTTTATATCATAAACCTTTTTTACCTATATGTTTGGTTAGTAAATTTCAATTACTATATGCATTTTAACATATCACAATATTCTATCTTAAAGATATTTTTGGTAACATTCTGAAATTAAGTTATGCAAAATATTTACATTGCATATTTCCGTAGACACGACACATTTTGGGGAAACATAGATGAATTATACAAATAAATTAAAGTATATGAAACAGCAAGTATCATGTAAATTGATACATATGTTTAAGAGTACCCATCACAATACACTATTTAGATGTTCCAAATTTATCTACCAATCTCTCTCAAATTAAATCACACTGCACTTCCATCCAACACAACTTGGAACTGCACCAGCATCTTCCTCTGAAACCTGGATGGCGTCACCATGACGTTCCCAGAGTCCAGGCATTTGAATGATCTGCAACATAAGAAAACTATGTAGAATAAAGTAAAGTTTAAGACCATATTAACATGTTCCACTCCTTTTAATATTGTAGCTAGCTTTAGATACTTCATCTTGAAGCTAACAGTTGACAGTTGTTCATCTTGATAACTGACTGGTTAGAGCAACTGGGCATAAACCCAGACCTGGGTTCAACTCCCAGTTGAGGTGATAATTCTTTGAACAATATTAATTAATAAAATACTCAATTAAGTTATGAAATTTGGCCTAATGGTCTTGTTTGATAAATCTCGTCTTACGATACTTATTTCATAAATAATTATTACCTTACTCCAGGTACTTGTTTTGTTTCATTACAAGTTAAAATTAGGGGTTATTTAACCTTAACTATTCCAGTGAAATTCACTTGCACATAAACTCTGGTACCCCAAAAATTATACTACTATTTATCTCAATGAAAGAAACAGTTTCAAATTTTGTTCTTGAAATCAGTTTACAGTGTTTATAATAATAAGAAAAAAGTAGATTACAAACAATTTTTACACAGAGAATTTCTGTAATCCAGCTTATATATTTACAGCACTTTTCGCAAACTATCTCTATCTTTCTCTTCCCAGTTCTCGCACATATGTATTATCTTGTCTAGTCTCTTATCTTGTTGGTTCTGACTCAAGAGGATGTTGGAGGAAGGGAAGTATGCTTTGTGATTATACAGTAACACAAATCATAACAGTCAAAATACATACAAAACATTAATTAAGAGAATGAAAAATAACTTACATTAACAATAAGGTGAGGTATTCAGAGACCATTTCCTCTCTAATTCCAAAAATTAACCTCAAATCACATCTCACGAGCCAAAATAAATAAAACAATGCCACTGAAGAATACTGGCTAAATGAGCGCTATCTAGTAATTGCTTTCAGAAATATAATGATATATACATCAGCGGGGGGACTCCAGGTCCCCACCAGAGTCGTAAAGGGTTAATGAAGTACATTTCAATTGTTGTAGTAAAAACATTGGTAGTTTAACGATTTGCCTAGAAAATATTTCATTCTGTGAATTATATTGATTTTTAATTGACTGGGTACACTACGTGAAAAAACGTAGAAATGATACAATAAAAGTTAATTCACACACACACACACACACACAAATTTAAAAAAATGTTTAATATTGTATAACTGTATGAAATATTATATTTAGCAGGATAGTACAGTTTTTTTGTTTACACTAAGTTGCTTTAATCACTGAACTATCAAGATGAACAATTCTTAGAACAGTTTCAAGGTCAGATGTATGATATTTTAATGTCACCACCCTGGCACTTTATTGAAGCCAATTACATTGTTATGAGTTCCACAATAGAAAATGCATCCAAGATGTAACCTTGTTACCGAGTAGCTGAATTTATTTTAATAATTAAATTTGTTCAAAGTTCAATGAAGTTGAAGTTTCTTTGGATATTGATTAATAAGAGTTGCTTTTTCATTAGAGCTCTATTCTCCCTGTCTTTTTCTTAGATTAGGATCCATCCATAAATGTGGAGTATTTGAGCCACTGAGCCAGCCACCCTAATAGTGGTAAAAATTTATTTCTAAAAAATACGGAAACAAACCTTTCATAATGAACAAAAAAACATAATTTTAATAATTTAATTAAATTAAATTAAAATTTTAGAAAATTAAATTAAAATTTTAGAAAATTGTATAAACTAACTTTTTGTACCAACTCCTCAAAGGCACACTGAACACCATCCCTGGTTTTTGCACTTGATTCAATAAAAAGCGTCGCGTGTCGGCGTGCAAACTTCATCCCTTCTTCACGACTTACTTCCCGATGTTCCTGCAAAACAGAAAAACAATATTTTATAGTTTTCTCCTAGTCAACAAAAACACTTAATTCTTTTTATAAGAGTACGCAAAATATGAATATTAGATAAAAACAATGGTTGCTGAAACTTTCAAACAAATCATTTCATTATTACTTAATTCTTGGGTTATCTTCATTTCCAGAATGCCACTCTTTCAGAACAGTGCACTGTGATGTGATGACACTACTTTGTCATCTTCAAGGCTTTAGTTTCTATGAACAGACTATTAAGTTTCCTTTGTAGTTGGGACTCCTCTCAATTTGCCACACTTCTTCCCAGCAGCCATCTAAAGGCACCCAAGTGACCTACCACAGCCTTCATAGTTACCCACCACTTCTACCATGGCACACTAGCTACTGGAAAGGGCATGGAATTAGGAACAGATTAAGTTTTAGAGGTGATACAAAGGGACTGGGAATACCTCCCGTGCCACAATCCTAACCAAAAACAACCATGGCTTACAAGGAATTCAAACCCGCAGCCCTGGTGTGCCCTTTGCTGCACCTGTCCCAATGTCCTTCACCCCCAAGCACTCTTACTAAATCTTTTGAGAAATCAGTTAATCAAACAGATTTCAAGATAGAACTTGTGTATCATTCAATGGCCATGACAAATTATATACAAAACCATCGCAAACCTCTAAAATCTATCCTTTTAACCAATACATCATTGTGCCTGAAAACCTGCATGTGTGAATTCTTTAACAAAATTATTAATGTACAATTTAAGGGTTTTCTTTAACATAGCTTTGTACTTACAATTGGTACCTAACGCCCAGGGATCTATTTTTAGGTCAGCAGATGTTCCTTTCCTTACTGACACTCCTACTTCTTTGATATAAAATTTAATTTATATTTCAAACACGTTACCTTGGACATTTCAGAAATATAAGCAAGTTCTGGAATTCCTGCATGCTAGATGTCGATTTAGCTCCAATTATTAAAAAAAATTGTACACTCCTGGCCTGGTATTGAAGATTTGCATCAATTCGAATCTTCTTCTAAAACCATGCTAGGCTACTATAAGCCTGTGGTTATGTTAGAGGGAGAGGCTGGTGTAAAGCAAACGCTGGTTGGTCTGCATCAAACTGTTAGGGAGTTGTATTGAGGATTAGTCACAAAACATTGTTGGAACTTCACCAATGGTCAACAGAGCATACACAGCTAATGTCTAAAGGTTTAGATACTTCTTTTAGAAAAAAAAGCCCATATAACCTCTGGTTGGTGCTTTGGAATCCTTTGATAGTATAATTTGGCAAAATAACATTGGTTTAGCACTAAAAGTTGCAAAGGCATGCTACCAGAGAGCTCCAACAATGACTTTGCACAAACCGGCATAATGACAATGAGCTAGCAAAATGCACACAAAATGCACACAAAATTATGTTGGGCATTAATGGGCAAACCCACACAATACCAAAAAAATTATTTCAGGTCTTATGTCTCTTATGTACAAAGATCTGATTTCACTTTTTACAGACACAGCCACTTGTTTATAGTTAAATTAAGATTTCTTGTACATGTCTTATAAAGAACATAAAACTCAATTTCTTCATACAAATGGCAGAATTTTTTTTTTTTTATTTATTTATTTAACATCAAAAACAGTTGAACACTGTGTGTGACATACTATGGAGATAAGTGTATTCTAATCATGTTTTCTTGCGTTCTGGGATTCCTACCGTAACTCAAATACAAGTTGAATTATGAATACAGATGGAAACAGCATTTTGTAAGAACTGATAAGAAAATATTTGCTCCTGTGCAAGAAAGTCTACTTGCAAAGGCAAATCGGCTATAGGGTTTTGTTATTATCCCGATCTTGCCCTTTAGAGAAGGAAATAATCTCCACGTAGCACTGGAAACATGTGGAAGTAGTGAAGTTACATTTATGACCAGAAGGAAAACAATGGCCATTTCAGCATCTGCTCCAAGGATCAGGAAAATTGGATGAAACACCTCACTGAATTAGGGCCATTAACCCAGAAGCTGAGGTACAGAACTTGTTACAAGCACATTTATTCTTATAGAAGTATACAGTACAAATGGTACCTAATACTTTAAATATCATTGATGAAATCAATATTACTTTCCTTATTGATGTTCGGTATTGTCCCTAATTGTATAGAAACAGTTATGCAGTAGAAAATATTGTACTTGGCACTTAAACTTGTGTATCAGTTTTAATCATTGTCATTTGACAGTGTGTTGAAAAATAATACATTGTATAAGCATTTTTTCTGGTGAGCTGTTGATACTGACACTACTTTAAATGCTATAGCTACTAGATAATGAATACCCAAAAACAAACAATAGAACTTATAAGACATTGATAAATAATGATAAACAATTCAAATTTTAGCTCTGAGGATGATCGCTATGCGATCGAAACAATCATAAGCTGAATAAAAAGTATTGATATCAGAAATCTTTATTTATTTATCTTAATGAAAAGGTATCTACCTCACCAGCGATCTAATTAATATAAGGCATTATTTACATATGATTGAAATATTTTATTATAAAAAAATTGTAAAATATTTTAATGTTAAATATATAGCATTTACTAAATTCCAGAAACTCATCCAACTATTGCTCAAGAGGAAAGATTTTGGAGATCTGTAGTGGTTATGTGAATAATTTGCCATTTCCATTGAATGATGCTTTAATATTAATTTATATTTCTCTATAATAAAATTTTGTTTTCTTGAAAAAAAAAAAATCTGAGCAGGAAGCAACTTTTACAATCTTGACTAGGGTATTTAACTACGAGATAAAAATCTTTTAATACAGTAAGCATGTGTCTTGGAATTAATGCAACTTTCAGTAGTAAAACCACTCACCCTTTAGCATAAATAATAGAACTGAGTGCGTCTAAGCTTTCTTTTTCTTTTTTTCTTTTTTCTTGGTACTATCACAAAGGATATTGTACTCCATTTCAGATATGATTTGTTTATTTGTATTTATATAACAACTTTTTCTTAAAAAAACTGACCTTGTCTATTTTGTTTCCAACCACCATTTTTACAATATTGCTCTTAGTTGAATGTGTATCCAATTCATTCAGCCAGGTTTCCAGTTTATTAAAAGTTTTAACATTGCTAACATCATAAACAAGGATAGCTCCTTGGGCATCTCTATAATAACTGGGCGTGAGAGTTCGAAAACGTTCCTGACCAGCAGTATCCTGAAAAGTTGAGATGATATTATTTGCCATTTCTACACAATGAAATAATGAAATCTCATAATTAATACTTATACAAACCCAAATCGCCAATTTTACTGTATTTCCATCAACAGTAATTTTTTTAGTCCTAAAATCAACTCCAATTGTGAGCTGTTGTTCTGGGTTGAACATATCTTCAGTAAATCGCAACAATAAGCTGCAATAATTGACAAACTGGTTACTTTCGCGCTCATTACAACTGTCAGAAACGTCATTATATCATAGAAACAAAGTGTTTTGTCACTGACCTTGATTTTCCAACATTGCTTTCGCCAATAATTAAAATTTTTAAGGTAGTCAAAACTTCGTCATCCATATCAGATAGAACTATCACGTCGATGTATAAGTTATGTAAAACGGCATAAGTTTACCGAAACAATCGTTCATGAAATTGAGAAACACAAGAGACGTGAACACGCAGTCGCACACCTACGTCAACAATTACATTTGACAACGTTGAACTTCGCACTAGCACTTCACACAGCAAAAATTGGATAGAAGAAATGTGAAAGAACTCCCAAACAAATCGGATAACACCTAGGCTGTTCAAAATTACGCATCGGCTGTCACATACACATACACATTCTGCACAAGGTTATTTAATGGTATCCATGATGAAAGGCTTAGGGATTCCTTGAAAGGTAACTTAAAAATGATTTTGATGAAATTGACTTCATCAGTAACACTCCCTAATCTTAAAAACTTTTTAATAATTTTTAAATAAAACTTATCACCTTTAGAAAATAATTGTAAATTTGGAAAGAGCTTCTCAGAAAAATATAAGTATTTTTAAAATTCTTTTTTTAGTTATTTACTAAGTTCTTTTTTAAAATTATGGAAACGTGGGCATCAAATGACACAAAAAGGAACCGTAATTTCCGGAAGATATTATTTACTGAGAAAACAATAACGAGCGATAAATACATATATTTTCCTTATTTTAAGTTGGTGCACATGGTGATCGAAGATGAAATCGAATTGCCGATCGTTTTGCGTAACTATTCAAAACCTGAAATGACTAGATTTTTGACCTATTTCCGACTTACACATTTTATTTTCCCATATACGAAGTATAAAGTTATGTAATGCTGCGGAAAGTATTTCGAGATTTAAAAGGAAAAAAAGTTTTGAGGTTCCTGATACTGAAAAGGTGTATTTCCTTCAAAACTTCCGTCCGTCTTTCCAACTGCTTGTCATTCGGTCGGCCTGTATTTTGTTCACATCTCTCTCACGCCCTTAATGTGTACATATCAAATTTTAGGGAAACTCAAAACTTTTCTGTGAAAATTAGCTCAAAATTCCTAATTTTCAGAAACGCTCAAACGCCATTTTCTCAAATATTTCTTCAATTTTTTGTACGGATAGTTAACAGCACTCTATGAGATGACAAAAAAGCCATTTTGCAGGGGTTTTTTTTTTCGAGGTCTTCCTGCAACTACAGTATTGAAGATAGTAATTTTTAATTCGAATTATGTTTTCTCCATAATTATTTCTTTGAGTAATGTCATATACATTTTTTAAAATAATTGTAAGTTTGAAAGCAATTATAATTGAAATACGGGCAATATTAAAAATTTAAAAAACAAATTCTCTCAAAAATCGCTCCATGAGCTCTTCAAACTTTCGGTTCGGAAAGTGTTATATGCAATGTGTGAGATGTTATAAACGCTATTTTGATGAATTCTTTTGATTTTTCTCAAATTTATTTTTTCTGAAATATCTCTCTTATAAATGCATTTTATTATTTAATGCTTCTGTTAACACATATGCTTCAAAGTATCTCTAACTGTGGATTTTGAAAAAAAAACATAACTTTTTGCGTATAAGGAAACTTAACATTTTCGAACACGTTCGAACCACTCTTTCTCAAAAACTATGAAAAATTTCCCTCCAAAACTCTTCACAATGGAAAAGAATTTGATTCTCTCCGATATTCCGAAATCCTGGTTTCGACCAAGATATTATATGCGCACGTTTTCTTGAGCTCGTACCTACCCCAAATTCCTTTGCCAGCATTAGTTGAATTTAACGAGAGTTGTAGACAAAATCTGTGTAATAGAATGTTCGCTCCCGTGTAATAGAAACTATTTCAATGGAAAAAGGAAATTCAAATTTGATATAAAATTTCTTTTGTGAAAATAACAAAACTCCTCACTTCTCTCGCAACTAGCGAAGCGTGGGCTCAAGAAAACATGCCCTCGTTTTATTGAGGGCACGTTTTCTATATGCGAGGCCTGAAAAATAAAACATACTGAAAAATGTTGTTTTTTTATCGAACACGATAAAAATATATATTGCACAAAAACTAAAAGTAATCCATCGCGTTAATTGAAAAGTTCTCGAAATATTTTGTCTTCTAACACTTTGTCAAATGTTCGCAAATATGTGAAATATTCGCTTGCATTCGCTCGTTTAAGATTTGGCTGGTGGATTACGTTGAAATTTGTTACAACGATATGAATATTGTTAAACAATGGTTTTGTTTTGACCAGGTGGAATATATGAAAATTGAAGATCAGGTTTGGGAGATTAAATTATTAAAGTGATTCATCAATGGAATATTGAAAGAATATTACAGTATGTAACAACAGTTGCCGTAGTTTACTACTTATGTAATGATTGTGTTTCCAAAGCATTAATTTGAATCATTTTATTACAGAAATGGGTTCGTGTGATGTTTTTGGTGGCAAAAGAAAATATTGCAATGCTTCTTATACCTACGTCAGATTTAACATTGACAAAAGAGAAGCTATTTAAAGGGTAAGTGGTTGAGAAATGTGAGTGAACAACGTCAGCGGTCTACTGTGAATGATGAAGCGATATTCTTCGTTCAAAATTTCAAATCGTTTGTAGTGAAAAGTTCTTGATTAGTGATGGTATTCGTTTCCCTGTTTCCAACGGTCGATGCGTGTACATCAACATATCAACATTTGTGAATTATGACCACCGCATGATTTTTTACACTACTGGCCGAATTGTCAACCAGTTACCCACAATGTAAGAAAATATCCTGTCGAACTTGGCAGGAAATTTTACAAAGAGATGAGAATTGGATTAATTCCTGACGTGTTTGCGAACAGTTAAAACATCTTCGATTCTAATTTATGTGAGTACACGTGGGAAGGTAATGTTGATGTGATGAAAGAATTTCTACGAGGCATCGTACACTTCTACCATCAAAATGATTAGGTAAGTTAATAGTTTGTTTTTTTAATTTCTGTTTTATAGTTTCGCGTAAGTAAATGTGCTAGTAGAAGTGCAGGTCAAAACAATACTCTATCTCATTAAAATAAATGGTCTTAAAAGCGCGGTAGGTTTATAAAACAGCGTGAGCGCAGGGGCGAGAGCGGAGGCGCGAACAAGATCGCGAGAGCGATTGAATTGAATTGAAGCCTTTATTTATTTGGCGAGACTCGGGCCATCAGGCTTTTCGCTACGCTCCTTTCACCAACTAGCGGAGAAACGAGGTACTTCTTGGGCGACGAAACAGGCGATTTGAATTTTGCTCAGAGGCGTCATTTAGGCTTGATCTTTTACATGCAAGTAAATTTACGAACATGGGACAGCCGGCTTTACTTCCTCTCCGAAGGAAGGCGTACGAAGGATTTTCAGAGCGATGGCCGAGGACTATCGCGAACGCAGCAAGTTGGATCCGTCGGGAATTTTTTTCTTCTTTTTTTCTAGCGACGTGCAAGTTAGCAAGTCGCGAACCACTTACAGTACCGGCAACGTGTTTAGAATAGACGTAATTGTTATGTAGCCAAGGGAAGGGTTATATATTTTATTAACGATCAGAAACATTGAATGAATCGATCAGAATGTATGTTAATATTTATTTACAATAGGAAGATATTTAGCATGGGTGGTTCTTGACGTGTTAAATAAATCAGTCACATCAACCCTGAAGGTTATCGGTGGAAGAGCAATTTATTGTGAAAGCTGTCTCGCAACTTCCAAGGTTTATTGTGAAAAGAAACCTTCAAAAAAATTTTAAGTCACCTTTGCAAAGAATCAGTTTTCTTGCGTGTGACGAGAGCGCAGTACATTTAATAACGATCATTGACATAATTTGTAAACATTTTGTGCCGGTGATCGTGAAGAACATTGCTGATGTTACTAATCAAGTAATGCATAGCCCTAATTATTTGTAATCAAAGCATCTAAGTCGAAAAGTTCTGTGTTTGTAATGCGGATCTCCGTATATTTGCGTGCAGATTGAGTAATGGTCGGCCAGCAGCGTGCCTGCAGTCAGTAGCGGAACTTTCAGCTATAACAAGACTATAAAACAGAAATAAAATAAAAATACTATTAACTTACCTAATCATTTTGCTGGTAGAAGTATACGATGCCTCATAGAAATTCTTTCATCACAATAACATTACCTTCGCACGTGTACTCACATAAATTATAATCGAAGCTGTTTTAACCGTTCACAAACACGTCGGGAATTAATCTAATTCTCATCTCTTTGTAAAATTTCCTGCCAAGTTCCATAGGATATTTTCTTACATTATTGTGGGTAACTGATTGACAATTCGGTCAGTGTAAAAAATCATGTGGTGGTCATAATTCACAAATTTTGATATGTTGGAGCACCGAGGCATAGAGATGATGGTAATAATAATAATAATAATAATAATAATAATAATAATAATAATAATAATGATAATAATAATAAATTATTATTATACGGGAAAGCGCACAATGTGCATAGTTTATTCTCTTTACTTTTTGATATAAAAAATATTGAGGAAGTCGAAATGTTACACTTTCACTGTTCAATCACTGTCTCTTTATCGCGTTCACTACCGCACAGCAAGTGCCACCAGCTCCATTTGTTCTTTTTATTTCGTGCTGAATTTGGAAATGGATGTGTTCCTTTTTCCGCAATGTAAGACATGGTACCTATCACATAATTCCTTGCACCATTCACACACACGCACGCAGATACACACACACGCTGGTTGTTTGGTTCGGGAAAACTGCGTTTTACTTACTTTATGGTGAAATCCATGCACCGCAAACCATGACACCATATGTCTTAGGTCATATCCTCTTCCCATCCATTCTGTTGTGTACATTTCATCCGTTGTGTAAAATTCTTGCCAGATTTCTTTATTTTTATCTCTTAGTTCTTTCGTTAATTCTTCTAGGTGTGGTGTATTTGGTATCGCAGTTCTACGTAAAACGGCCCTCTTGTTAGCTCATACACTAGTCGTGAAAGTTTAAACTTGGACATCCATATAGCTTTCTTCAGATAGATTTCACTTTTTCTTTCTTTCAAGTCTCTTTTGTTCAGATGTTTCCAAACGATCCGCAAGGAGTTATTTTCAATCAGAATAATTCTATTGCTGTTTCGGGTGAAATTTGTCGTAGATGTGAAAATTTATTCATCGCAATTATTGCTCCTGAGGTTCTCTCTTTGATATGTTTTTTGAAATTGATTTCGTGAGTTTGTAGAGTTACACCTAAATACTTCAGGCAGAGTAATGATAGTTCTTAGTCTATGGCCGAGGCATTTATGCATACGCTAGTACTCTATGCTTATTCTGACCAGTGTTTTATTGCCAATCCACTACAAGCAGCACTGAGGCGGGGGCACGCCATGCTGAAAAGGGAGCCGGAACGCGTTGTGTTCTCCCCCACATACATGCGAAGATTTGCTGATTTGCTCTGTGGTACGAACACATCCAGGACACATGTAAACGCCGAGAATCTGGACCAGAATATTTATTAAGTGGTGTTGCTTTTAATTTGGATCCATTTATGCGTTTGGATTTCGTATTTCTGTAGCTCTTTAATATTATTTGTCCAAGGCTTCTGATCCGATACTTAACGTGTAGTGAAGAATTCTAATGGTTTTCCGAACATTTCCACTCTTTGTCCGTAAAAGGGGTCCCGACGAACTTTGGAGAAAACGAAGAATTTTAAAACTTTCAGCAGTTAGTACTACATTTTAAATTATTTGACATTCGCAGAATTTTTAATTTGAGAGAGCTTTTGAATTTATTGTTGTATTTATTTTCTTTGCAGCATTTCCATGGTAGAAGTAGAAATTGCTATTCTATTGCTGTGAGAGCAGTACATCGTGCATTGGCGTATGCTACCAAGGCAAGAGCTTTAAAGAAAGAGGATATGCGTGCTGTAAGTTGAATTAGAGAGCACATGATTTTTATTATGAAGTTACTAACTACTTGATGTAACTCATATTAGAGTTTGGAATGAAATATTGGTTATGAACGGAATTTCATGTAAATACGTATAATTAAAGAAACAAGATAGCTGCATTCAAAAATACTTTTTAGAGTTTACAGGACATTATGAATGAAATATAACTATTTCTATTTTTAAATATTTTAGTGTAATGACACATTTTACCTATTACAACATATGTTACATTTTAATAAAATTATATGTCAAAGTGGAACATTTCAGATGTGAGTTTTCCATATACCATGTTACTGGAATCATCTTTCTTGCAAAGCAATGCAATGCGGTTCTATGAACACTTGTCCTTCTTCATGAATTCTCAAACTTATTCCTCCCCTTTCTTCTTGAAAATCGCATACTCGGATTCAAAGAGGGGCAGATGAACATGTGAAGCAGAAGTAATGTCAACCTCATTCTTGCTCATGCTCCATCGCATTGTTGATGTAAGCCTGGGGGGTATGCCCCTTCCCCCCACCTCCGGGATCCATCAGTAACATCACGGCACTACACTTATTTCTTATTATTTCTAAATTAGCACCTGAATCATCTACTTACCAAGACCCTGTAATAAGAGTTTATCTGACGAAATTTCACAGTTATTCTCGCAGCATTACTTAACTTTCTCTGTACTCCACTGTGAAAAAATAAAAATACAGAAAAATACTTAACACATCACCTCAACTATATTGTACGTTTGCCAGAACTTTAAAAATCATGTAAACTTTGCTCAAAACTGAGGAAGAGACTGCTCATACAAATTGGAAACTCAGAAAGGGACTGCTCAAACTGACAAGGGAAACTCATCAAATACTGTATTCTGCATTCAGTTGGGTAGGTCAGATAAATAAAAATACTTCTATGGATAAGTATTAAGGACAATGTTTCATGAGAATTTGCAGTCTCTTTATCTTGTGGAATGTAATGTACCTAATTTCGGACACTTTCACATCCGTACAACCCTAGAAATTTGTGTTTTTTATCAATATGTTAGGAAACTGTAATGAATTTGTCTATATTTGTTTGGCAACATTTGCAATATTATATAAAACTAAACAATATATCTTCATGTATTTAAAATTAATAGGTGATGTTGATTTAAAGAAATTAATTTATGCATTAACTTTTCATTTTTAGTTATGGGATGCCCGACTTACTGCTGCATGTGAAGAACACAATTTCTCATATCCCCTGATGAGGGAGAGTCTTTCTCGATGTAATATCCTACTAAATAGAAAGGTATTGACTGATCTAGCTATATGGGAGCCACGATCTTTCAAGGTTGGTATGTTTTGTGGAAAAAATTGCGCACGATTGCTTTTTCTGTTTATTGCAATGCCTGTTATTCAGGTAATGAGATTTAATTTTTAATTGGGATTGTCAGAAACTGACTTTATAAACACAAAATTAATACACACTTCAGAAAACTAGTACTTTTTTGTTGTGAAGTGTCTATAATATTCTGTTTCCTACAGTTATACAGCAAATTTAGTTTTAAAACATTTCATGAATATTTGCATTCAGGTTTCTGTTGGTTAAAATTTTTAAAATTATTTTCTAAGCATATTGAAATTTGTTTTAAAGTACAGGAAAGTAACGTTAAGGTCCTGGAAAGTAAGTTGATCAATACAAAACAAAATGCAGTAAAATCTGTCTAAGTAAGATTCGATTGGGACACAAATTCCGGTTTAGGGAGGTTTCCGTTTCATTGAAGGTTGTCCATCTTTCACACTTGTTAGCAGTAAATTGTATGTCTTGAAAGAAATCACCAATAAATGAAAATTAAACACTTCTTTGACAGCTTCTGAATTGAAAATACATAACTTACTCGCTGTATTCGGACTGCTTGGTGAAAGTTTTAATGCACAATGTGTCTTTTGTGTGATACTGTCATAGCCTTGAGCAATGCGTATCGGGTTGAGGGGTTATGATTTTCAACACAGTTCCAGTTTAGACAGATTTTATTGTATTTGAATATGATATACTTTAAGTGATTCAAGTGTTTTCATTTGCTGCAGTCTCTGGTGAAACTTGCTTGGAGTAGAGCCTCTCAGGATGGACTAAATGGAGTGAAAGAATTGGGAGAAGAACCTTCAGGAGTAATTACCAGAGGAATGATCAAGTGATTTGTGTGGACAACCAACTTTTGTATATAGCTGTTTTTAGATGTAGAAATACATTTACATAAAAATACTTACTGTGTTTGATTAATGTAGAAGAGTATGACATACAGTTGATTGTAATGGATGTCGTTCCAGACAACTAAAGATCTAAGGGAGAGATTGAAGGGCGTGTGTGAACCCAGTGGAATTACTAAATTTTTTTGTTCATTAAATAATTACCAAGAGAGATATGTGTGTATATTAAAATCACAGTGTAAAAGATGTATCCACTCTTAAGCGACCCCTAGATAGTCAATAATTTTGTAAATATTTTGCGTAATAATGGTCTTTGTACAATAATATTAACAGTCTGTAGGTCACATTGAAAGATGCGCACTATATTGAGTCAATAAAAATGAGTTTTATGTTTATTGTGCAATCTAGAAAATATTGTATCATCTAGGGCTATTATTGCACAATACTGATTGTAGCTTCACAGTATTATATTGATCATCAACTAAAATGGCTATGAGTACAAACAAAAGAGATTTCAGATGTAACTGTTCTCCAGCATTCATCAAATGTATCATCTAATGGCAGGAAGTTTTGAAAATTATTTGGTTCACTAATTCTTGGTTTAGGTTATAAAATTCAGGAGTGTTATTTCTTTTTTTGAACCATTCCTCTGATCGACATGAGACGCTCCACATCCTGACTGGGGGATGCAGAGAAGGCTTTCATGTGTTGTTTCTCTCTCGCTTCTCACCTACATTCTTTCTTCACCTCCTTTTTCTTCCTCACTGGCCTTCTCTGTAAGCTGAAAGTCCACCCAAGTGTTTGCCGCGCATGTCGAAGGAAATGATTGACCTGGGAGTTGAAGGGTCTGTGCATGCTTTCTGGACTGTCACTGACGCCGGATGTTGGTACTGAGACCTGATCTATTCATGTGCACCATACGCAAACACATGTGGGCCCTGGTGACTGAGGGGAGGTCTGCATCGTGTAGATGCCAAAACGTTCACTTCGGCCCCGGCTTCAATTAGAAGGGCAGTCGGAAGCTTATCCACTCCCGCTGAATCGGTTCGGACTAGGTGACAACTCCCAAGGTGAGTGGGAGTGCCATGGTGCCCCACTGCGACTGTGAGATCCCATGGAAACCCTGGCATTCCACAGAGTATTCTCTTGATGGGTCGGGACCGCGTGGATGAATAGGGACCCCTGTTCATGGATTCGAAAGCACCCCCAGCCCCGCTCTATTCCCAAAGGAAGAGATAAAATGAAATGAGTGTAGACCAAGAAACTTTCTGCAAAGAACCGGATAAGCCATCCAAACCCTGCTTTCTTGTGACGTGCAGCGAAGAGGAGAAACGAGAGTAAGCTCAATTAAACTTGCCGTGGCCGTGTTCGAGGCGGCCGGCCGTCAACGCTAGGGCCTTTATTGTTCTGTGCTAGGGCCGTTCTTTTCGAGTGTCGCTCAGATAAAATTGGCAAACTTCTGAAAGTAAAGGAAATAGCCGGCCTCCGGGTTCGAGTGTCGACCCACCCTACCTTAAATCTGTGTAAGGATGTATTAAACTAAGGCGATTTCGCAACCGAAACCGAGAAAGACTTGAAAACCTTGTCAGGAGTAGTTACGGACGTGCACAAAGGATTCAGCGGGAACTGAGAAAGCTTGCAGCGAACTGTGATATTGGTAATCTTAAAGATCGTTTGATTCAAGATCGAATCGAGAGTGGTGTTCACGACCAAAGGGTCAAAGACAGACTTCGCGATACAAACCTTAACTTAGATAAGGCAATCAAAATTTCCAAAGCCGCGGGGAAGCAGACTGCCACATAAAGACAATGACGGACAACGCCAATCAGCTGTCGGTAAATGCAGTTCGAAAGCAGTTTCAACCAAAGAAGAAACCAGGTGCTCAAACAATTCAACAAGGACACTCACAACAACGACCAGGAGGTACGCAAAATGCTTCAAGAAATCAGTACAGTCAACAGGACAAAGCCAACAAACAACGAGATCAGGTTGTCAACGATGCAGTTTGCTTCATACAATCTTCTTTTGTCCGGTAGGCGGTAAGGAATGCTTACAATTTAAAAAATTAGGTTATTTTGCAAAAATGTGTCGTTCAAAATTTGTAAATGCTATTGAAAATGGAAATGATGAATTTGAGTACTAAAACCATTGGCACTAGCACCATTTACTTTAGTATGTTCTTGGCGGAATTAAAATTAATGATATAAAATTAGAAAACAATTGGTTTACCACGTTAAAGACTCTTGATTGTAATAAAACAGGCTCATGTAAACTGAATGTTTCCACTAACGACCGAAAGTACAAAATGGATTTTGTAATTTTTTGCACGACCGACAAATCAGCGCCTATTTTAGGCCTGAGAGGTTTACAAGAATTAGATTTGACAAGGAAAACTGTGGATGCCTTAGAAGTTGACAATGAATCGAATTTTTTGCAAAGGCATCACGATGTTTTCCAAGGTAGAGAAGAGATTAACAATAACTAAACTCTAACTAAAAGAACTCAAACTAAAAGAAGGTTATCAAGCAGTCGCAGTTCCGTGTCGTAGAGTCTCTTTTCAAATAATGGAAGATTTCAAAATTGAATTACAAAAATGGAAGATGATGGTATCTTCACTCACTGACCGAGCCCTCAGAATTTGTTAACCCATTGGTTTTAGTGCATTTACCAAATAAATTCGTGAGAATTTGTTTGGACCTTTTTCATTTACATCAAGCTTTGGTAAGAGAAGGGTATGAAATGCCCACTTTTGAAGAAATTACAGCAGAAATGGCTGGCTCGAATTTTTTCACATTTCTCGTCGCTCATAGAGCATTCTGGTAAATTGAGTTACCAGATACAGCATCGAAGCTAACGACATTTGCCACACCTTTTGGCAGGTACCGTTTTCTTAGGCTTTCATTTGAATTACCCATAGCTCCAGAGATTTTCCACAGAACATTCACTGAAATTTTCGAAAGTACTCCAAACATAAAAGTGTACATTGATGATCTTATTATATATTCGAAGACAAAGAAAGAACATGAAGAAACTTTGAATCATGTTCTCAACAGAGCTAGAGAAAGAGGAGTAAGATTTAGACCAAACAAGATACAATACTGCAGTAATTAGATCAAGTACATGGGACATGTTATTCCTGTCGATGGTATTACAGAAGACAGAAGATGGACACAAAGTGGAAGCAATAAAACAGATACAGACACCAAAGAATGTCGCGGAACTCAACAGATTTTTGGATTTATCTAAGTATATACCCAATCTGACAGATATCAGTACAAATTTGAGATAATTAAAAAAAGATGTGCATTGGATATGGACAGAAGCCCACCAGAAAGAATTCATACAGTTAAAAGAAGTTCTCTCAACCAGTCGCGTTTTACAATTCTGTGTGGGTAGATTGTTCAAAGGACGGAATCGGAGCAGTTGTTTTCCAGGATGGGAAACCGGTAGCGTATGCATCGAAATGTTTAACTGATGCACAACAACGGTAGGCACAAATTGAAAAAGAAATGCTAGCCATAGTATTCGGGTGCAAACGTTTTCACCAATATCTTTACGGAAAAGAATTTTCAGTAGAATCGGATCACAGACCATTGGAGTCAATCTTTGAAAAGGATCTAAACAAAACGCTGATGCGACTACAATGCCATCGTATCAGCTTGCAGCCATACCAATTTAGAGTAAAATATAAGTCCCGATCCCAATTATATTTGGCGGATACTCTATCAAGAGCCAGTTATGATGACAAAAATTTTGAAGTCAAGGAAAACGACTTAGATGCGCAATTTAACTCGATTTTATTTTACAATATTTCTCTAAAAAACTTCAAGAAGAAACAGCCAAAGGCGAAGAATTACAGAACCTGAGGACAGTAATTCTGGAAGGATGGTCAAATTCCAAAGCACGGGTAAATGAAGATATCAAGCCATACTGGTTTTACAGAGATGAATTGGTTGTAGTAAAAGGAACTATCTACAGGGGAGATCGATTGGTAATTCGCAAAACCATGAGACGAGTCATGATAGATTGCACTATAACCACATGGAAATTGAGAAAACATATTTAAGGGCAGAAGAAAATGTGTTTTGTCCTAATACTGACAAAGAAATTCAAGATGTAGTTAGGAATTGTCCAGCTTGTTTAACTTAACAAATTAATAATAAGGACAAATTAGTAATCAGAAAGAAACAATGATGACTCGTGAAATTTCTGACCGTCCATGACATACAGTAGCTGCAGATTTGTTCGAACTTAATAAAAAGAAATATTTGGTAATAGTAGACGCATATTCACGATTTCCAGAAGTAGGTTGTTTGAATGATAACACTACGTACGATAATGTAATACATGTAAAATCTATTTTTTTTTTCAGGCATGGTAAACCGGAACATCTATACACAGGCAATAATGTACAGTTCGTGAATCAAAAGTTCCAAATATTTTTAGATGACTGGGAAATTGTGCGCATCACAAGCACTCCAAGATATCCCCAGTCCAATGGCCTAATTGAGAGGCACGCTCAAACTGTTAAGTCACTTTTAAAGAAAGCATTGTTTGACAACAAGGACAAGTACATTTCATTGCTTGAGTATATATACACCCCATGAGGTAGAGGTCTTCCTTCTCCTGCCGAATTATTGTTCGGAAGATGATTGAATGGTATGTTGCCAACGAAGGGAGAAATGCTCTTGCCAAAATATAAAGTAGTAAAATTCGAAAAAGTGAATGAAGTTAAAAAGCTGAGAAAAAAGCAATATTATGATATGAACGCCAAAGATTTAACAGAACTAAATAAAAATGATCAAGTTATGGTTCAGTTAACAGAGAAGAGTACTTGGGAACCTACAATCATTATTGATGTTGACCAAAACAGACCTAGGTCATATGTTGTTAAGTTAGATAGAAATGACCAAATTCATGTGAGAAATTGCAGATTTTTGAGGAAATTTGAAGTTAACAGATGAGATGATGTTAAGAATGACAACGAAAGTTATGATGATCTTATAAATAGGAGTCTTAAAAATTCATATACACAAGAATACACCCAAACAAAAACAGATCAAAACGATAGTTGTGTCAATACACAGGATGAGTGTGAGTCCACCTCACACTGAATTTAATCAACCAGGTACACCAAAAGTAGCCAAACCACAAACACAAGCTTAATATAATCCATCGAATCCAAAGGCAATCCTTAGCTATCCAAAGGCTAAGATAAGGTAGACTAGTAAACAAAGCAAAGTATTACAAAGATTATGTTTAAGCAATATGTTGTATTTTGAAAGAATATTTGTATAATGTTTTTTAAAATTCTATCTTGCGAGGGAGACGTTATATGTTCGTTCAGCAAATAGAACCGCTAGGCGGAGTCGCCGTACTGCGCGCTGTACGTAAGCTTTGTTCACACATCAGTCTGTAAGCTGTGCTCAGTACACATGTAACTATGTTTCAGTACATATATAACAAGGTGTGACGTTTCTCCGTGGTGAATTAAAACCAACACAATATTTAAACAAAGAAGGTTTATTCGTGAACAAATTATACACCTAAAACTCTACTTGGTCTATTTACAATATATTTACCACTTAATTATTTTTCTTTTACACACGATTCCGTTTTCTTGATGGCTTATTTACAGCAGTTCACTTCTTTACACACTATTTTATTTACACGTTTCTTCTTCTACAGTATAGCCAGTCGATGCACTGTCCCGGTCCACTGCACTTGACCCAATTCTCTGCATAGACCACAATTCCCTTGCGGAGACCACACTTCACTGCGCACACCAGGGTCCACTGCACTGCTGTTTACCGCGATGCCATTCCACCAGCTCAGCTTCCACTGCCGACTTCAAACTGCTGACTGCTGTTTCCCTACTGCACCACTGCTACGCGATGCACCCTTCACAGCTCAGCTTCCGCTGCAGACTTCAGACTGCTGCTGCTGTTTCAACCGCTGCACCACTCTTCCCGCAATGCACATTTCACAGACAGCTTCCACTTCGGACACACTGACGGACTGACTGCTTCTCTGCCACTCACTACGCCTACTACGCGCCTTGACTTTCTTCACGTCTTCTACTAACTTCTTCTACTAA